TGGCAAGAAAAGTCTTGGTCAGGGAGGAGACCAAGAACCCAACGGTTACTCCACTCTTTTATGCTCCTTTTACATACACAAATAGATGCATCCATTTCAAACGATGTAATCGTCACTGCCCATGTACTTCCATGAATCATTTACTATGGCATGTTGTTAAGCAATATATCCACTAGAGGGCAGCTCAGTTAAAATATTCTCACAACATGGCAATGGTGGAGGAGGTTGTAGTTATGTAGCTCTTAAGAAAGAGGCAGCGTTGTAGTGGTGGTCTGTGAGGCCATTTAATACATTGCATCTCCTCAAAAGGTTCTGCCATTTTTCTCTTCATGTCTTATGGTTGTTTCTTGCTTGAAATGTGGGAAATGTATGCAGATCAGTGATTTAGTGTAAAACCAGTGGCTGGAATGTGTATCACATCATCTGTACACATGTTCTACTGAGATGGAATGAAAGCATCTGACTGTATGAGTTATTCTTGCATGTACAGTATTTGTAATTCAAATGTGTTTTCCTGTGTGCAGTTTCAAGCTCATGCTGTGGCAGAAGGTGCAGGAAATGCTGAGGAGCCCATGGATATAGTAGTGAATGTAATAGACCAGAATGACAACAAACCTGTTTTCACTCAAGATACCTTCCTGGGAGAAGTTCCTGAGGCCTCACCAAATGGTACTGTCAGTTTACTTAGTCTGAAAAATATGTTGGTTGGTTTTCAACATTATGTTTCACGTTAGAGAGACTGAGAAAGGAGCTGGATATAGCTGCTGATGTCTGTCCTAAACTTCGATGTAGTGAAATCCAGGACCTGATGCTTCTACACAGTGGATGTGGCAGTCCTGAATGAAACTTTTTCTAATGTAACTTCTAACCCAGAGGTCACTGATAGGCGGACCAGGGTCCAGATCCGGACCCAGGCACCGATCTACCTGCATTTATAACCTACAACTTATTGAGTAGCTTTCATGGCACTGGTCACGTGCTGCCACTCAGCCAACCATTGAGACTCGAGTCAGTGAGTGAGATACACACAGAGAAACGAGAGGAGACAACGTCAGAGAAATAAGTGGGGGAAGTAGGAGATAAGAGAAAACAAGTAGAACAGGTATTAAAGCAGTTCAATTGTGATGTGTTGAGATTGTTATAAAAAAATGGTTGAGACTTTTAAGAAATGGAAATGGAGTTAACAAAAAAGAAAAAGGGAAACTCAAGCTTCACTCAGTGATCATTGATTGTACACAACTTTTTTATATATTGGGGTAATTTGAGTCTACTATATGGGGATGTAATGATTCTCGCAAGACCCCCCCCCGGGAGTTTGGAGTATCAGGCCTTCATGGTTGTCCTGGAAGGGGCAACACCTGGGGACTCTAGTTCTTCTGAGGGAGTTCAGGGCTCATGCTGACAATGATGGAGAAACCTGGAGGGGGGTGGTATGGAAGATGATCTGCTTGATTTTAACCAGAGTGGTGTTTTTTCTTGTTGGACTTCCATGCTAGCCTTGGATTGGCTTTATCAAATACCTTGTTAGAGCATAATCTGGTTCATAAGGGTACTTGATACTTTAGGCCTAAAATGTACTTAATTTACTCTTCTGGATTCCCTCTGTCCAGGTTTTGAGGTGATTACAGTTACGGCCACAGATGCTGACCAGCCAAATTCTGACAACTCAGATATCCGCTACCGTATTTTGAGTCAGGATCCATTGTTGCCCAGCGACTACCTGTTTGTCATCAATCCAGTCACTGGAGTCATCAGAGTCAATGCTGGTGGGCTAGACAGAGAGGTAAGAATGTAAAAACATTTTCCCTGTCTTACTGTGCTTTCGCACCTACCTGTTGAAATACTTGAACGGTTTCAATAGCACAAAAGTGCAGGAGTAGTTATGTGCCGAAAAACTAAGTATCACCTTTTCATCAGTATGTTGGGCCTGGCATAGATTTAGGGGTTTATGCTCAGAAAATGTTTAAGCCTTCCAGCTGATCAGTTAATGTCATTGTATGTCTCCTCCAACAGAAATACCCCAAGTACACTCTGGTGGTACAGGCAGCAGACATGATTGGAGAGGGGTTGACTGGAACTTCCAAAGTAATCCTCACCGTAACGGATAGCAACGACAACGCTCCAGAATTCACTCAGATCTCTGTAAGTACAACACACTTGTGACTGGAAATTTTACTGTTTGTTAAACCTCTTCCCCGAAGATCAATTGTTCAGTCGTAGCTTACCGCCATGGCTAGTTCTCACCATGCTGAAGCTGTGTGCTTTGGGCTGTATTAAGAGATATACTCGATGTTTGAATATTTTCCAATATCAGTTATATTTTTCCCACCTTTCTAAAAACACAACACCCAAATTGCAAGGAATTGATTAAACAATGCGTTTATACTCATTTATTACTAATGTTACACTCAGCTGTAACCTAATTTCACCTTCAGTGCCAAGGGGCCACATGGCGTTAGTTTTAGCTAACCAACTGTTACTTGGGAGGCAACGGGTTATTTTAGGAAAGGGCCCCATGCTGGTTCAAATCTGTGAGCAGCAGTTGTCATCTTAGCCATTAAAATCAATGTTGACCTACTGAAAATTTTCTTCTGTCTGAAATCAAGTATGCAGTGTTTTGAAAAATGACCATTAATTCCAATTTAAAATCTGCCGCCATTATACATACATGTAGCACATGAGTAATACACTTGACAGTAGGGATCAGTGGTAATATTCAGCATTTTCAGATCATCATTATGTTTTTTTTTTT